ATATTTGACAAGTATTTTGGTATATTTAAACATCATAATCTTATGTAAAAACTTTCTATGTGACAGACTATTAGCGATGGATCCAATTGCATCACACAGGTTAGTGATAAATGTAGATACATTTTGTTGTCTACATACACCTCATGATGGTTGTAAAGGACAATTATGTAACATAAAATATTTTAATAACTTAAACTGATTTATCAACAATTTGATTCTGTTAGTTATTTCTGAAAATGTAAAGTTGTTACGATTGACGGACATATTTACATATTAGTGACCCACGCAACAGGATGCCAAACATGTGACTGAAGATGGAGGCAGTGTTTTCCTCTGAGATGTTGGTGAACTCATACTGAACTAAATAATGGTGGTACTCTTCATGCATAATTTTATTTCATTCAGACTTGTCAGAAACCTGGTACTACAGTTGCCTGGCTTGAAAGTGCCGCACTTTCCACATGCATCCTTTGCAGTTTCGCATACCTCCATTCTGTTTCTGATTGTAACACAGAAGTCAGCATAACGATGTATTAGTTTAACTGTGTCAAAAATGTTGGTCCAGGCAATGAAATGAACACCTTAAATAAGTTGGGAGCCAGGTTAGCACAGCTGGTAAACAGGAGGCTGTGGACTGGACAGCGAAGTAATCGGTTATATTTCCTGCAGGAGCAAAAATATTTCCCTCCTCCACAACATCAAGACTGACTTTTGGTTCGCCCAGCCTTCTGTTCACTGGCAACCAAGGAGGTAAAGTGGTGGAAGCATACAGCTTCATTTAGTGCCAAGGTTAAGAATGTGGAGCTTTACCTACACTCTCCCTACATCTTCATGGAATTGTGCTTAATTAATTCAGCCTGGGAACAGCTTTATCTTTATTTTCACCCAAATGGTAGTGGAAGCTGAATGAACATATTATTGTGAGTTCAGTCATCTAAAGACACTCCTGTAAATGTAGCATGCATTGCGGAAGAAGCAGTTTGCCTGTAGTGGGATATGTGTACTTAACTCATTTGTGACCTTGCCATACTCACAAAACTCCTTCAACAAGAAACGTGCATTGACTTCTTCTCTGCTCTCTAACCTGCAAGACTGCTACCTTTGCTTATGTGTCTGGCTTATTGGGTCATATGTAGGTAATAGAACACACTTTCATTTCAATTGTGTTGTTGTGTATACCAAGTCTTGAACATTGTAAGTTTAACCATTTGAGGTCATTTCAGTAACTTGAAGTTTAAAACATTTTAGGTTCTCACAACAATGACTATGAACAGTACTATCTCTGATGATGCCATGTAGTCTTGTAGCTGTGCATTGATGTTTTAAAGGAACATAAGCCCCATCTTCAGAGTTGTAGAATAAGCCAAGTTAACAGAGTTTTGTTACTTGCTTTGTACTGGTTGCTTGGTTCACTCTTCGACCCAGAAGATGGGGGCATATGTTCCTCCAAATCATCAATGAACTTCTACAAGACTACATAGTGTCAGACGATTTTGCTCTTCATGTGATATTTCTGAATACAAATTAACACAGATGAATGGTGTACTGGAACTCTTTGTGTCTGTGTTCTTCACTTACACTGGCTTACCCTTTACTGCCCAGCCTTTAGTTGTTCTTTAATAAGAATTTTTTTTTATTGCTAGTGGGGTGGGACTAAGACCCTTGTACTGCGGCCACTTATGGCCTGCTGTACCAGCACCAGATGATAGCTGAGGGTGATTGTGAAGTAATTGGTGGAATGAAGATTGGCAGGGGAAACCGAAGTATGTGGAGAAAACCTGCCCCAGCGCTACTTTGTCTACCACAAATCCCACTTGACCAGACCTGGGATCGAACCCGGTCCGCCATGGTGGGAAGCCAGCGACTAACTGCTTGAGCTATGGTGCGGCCAATCTTTAATAAGTAAATAATGTAAGCCTTATATGAAGGTCACGTCTATTCATCTGTCTGTCTGTGTGTTGAATACCTAGTATCAGTGCCTAAACAGCTGGGTAGGTTCTTTCACATTGGGAGGTTTTTATTGTTGTCATTTCAGCCATCTTGATACATAATAAAGCCACATATGGACTTTGTCATGCCTCCTATACACCATTTAATAGATTTGTTGAAATTCAGAATGAGCGATATTTGCATTTGCATTTGCATGCTCTTAGTTTGGTTTTCAAAGATTTCTTCTACCTTCTGGGATATAAGTTACCTGCCTCAGCATGGTTTCTTGCTTGACTTACTCATCGACTCGGGCCGCGCCATAGCTCAAGTGGTTAGTTGCTGGCTTCCCACTGCGGCGGCCCTGGTTCGTTCCCAGGCCTGGTCAAGTGAGATTTGTGGTGGACAAAGTGGTGCTGGGATGGGTTTTCTCTGAGTATTTTGGTTTCCCCTGCCAATCTTCATTCCACCAAATTCTCCATCATCATAATCACCCAAGGCAGGCTACAATAGGCCAATAAGTGGCCGCCAAGCCAAGTGGACACAGTTGGACTCCATCCCCCACTAAGTGAATTAAAAGAAAAATCACTCATCGACTCTGAAGATGTAGGTGGTATGTTCCTCCAAAATATCAGTTGACTTTCAGTCAACTGCTCAGTGTTATATGTATTACAGAAGATATAACTCTTCATAACCACTGCTGTGAGAACCTCAAATCCTGTTTCTTGGATTCCAGTTTCATTTAAATTGTATTTATATTTTGGAGATACTTGCAACACCGTGTAAGAGACTGTATATTATTGTATGGTTTACATGTTCAGATATTAATTTTTGAAGTATCTCGTAGCTTTGGTTAAGATAAAAAAGTGACATATTCAAAATAAATAAGTTGCTCATTTTGGTGTAGATGTTTGTGCACTTCATGGCCACAAATTATGTTTTATATTACATGATAAGAGAGTGTTACGACTTCTTGACAGGGAGTGAAAGCCACAAAATAGATTGCGCACACCCATGCCAAAAATTTAGGTTTAATGGGTCTTTAGGGTGGGTGTAGTCCTTAAACAATAGTTCCAGGCAATCCAGCACTCTGTTTCAAGTTGGAAAAAGTGGGTATAAATCATGACATGAACGCACACTAAGATTCTCCGTCTTCATTAGTATTTCAGATCACTATGAAGTCTTCCTCTTATTTCATCTTCAATCACTCTGTACTCATCTGCCCTAATCTGTACTCAGTCTTCACAATTCACTAAGGACAGGCTCCATTCTCATCCTTGTACTCTCAACTGCTGAACCCTCCTGGACTCCTCAGGCTTACTGCTTGCTTGTTGTACTCCTCCAGCTTACCACTATACTCCGGCCACATACTACTCAGCTTAGGAATCCTGCTCATTTATATAGACGCGACACAGACCTACAGAAAATACGTCACATCATTGCTGTCCAGCCAGTCCATTGGCACTCTGGCTGGACCTACAGAAAACACATCACATGATTTCTGAGCACTGTTGTGTGTGACATTGCGCATGTGCAAGCTGCACAGACACAAAGAAAACACTGCTGCTGTATTGTTGGCCATGTGTGTTGCAGGTGTTGGTTTAGCGATGGATTTATGTGTCACAATATCAAGAGGAATGAGGTGGATGAGACGAGGAAGAAACAAGGACAGCATACAGAATTTTAGATCTAAAATTTCACATGAAAATACCTGTGAGAAATTTAAGCATTGGCTGGAGTGTAAAATTAAAACATATGTTACAAGAATAGAGGATATATCCAAATTATGTAATATTTGAGGTTTTCACGGTGGTGACTACAAAGAATGCTGTCTTCTGGGATGTGACGCTGCGTGCAGCCACCTGCACACCTACCCTGAAGATGGAGGCGATACGTTCCTCCGAAACATTTGTTTACCCTAGTTCTGCAGGGTGCCACATCCCAGAAAATGGTATTCTTCGTTTCCAAATTAGATCACACTTTTGAACAACCTTATGTCTAAGCAAAGTGCATTGTGTATTGTGCCTGAAACATTTTTTAGATTGGATTTGAAGTTCTCCTAATGGTGACTGTCTTCTGGGATGTAATTCCATGTTGTCTGGTAGAAATTGACTGATGTTTTGGTGAAGCATACTGCCTCTGTCTTCAGAACTGAAGAGTAAGCTAAGTAAGAAGCCAGCAAGAAGCAGCCTCTGCTTGCCATTCAGTTCTCATAAACATAAGTGGACTTCTGCGGGACCCAGAATACAGTAATCTTCCTCTCTGAGGTTGCATCATCATCATCATCATCATCATCGGATACTTTTCTAGATTATTATGCTGTGAATAGAAATTTGCTGGATTCTATTTTCAGCACATGTAGGAATTAAAAATTGTCATACCAGAAGTCTTGCAAACAGAAAGGACTTTTCTTCTGTAAGGTTGCCTTTCAAGGTATGATATACTCTCAGATATATTTTAGACAGGGCATAATAAACATGTAGTACTGAATTTTGCACTTTCCCAAATGTTCTGTGTGATGACCTCATGTAATGCAGACAGTGTCCTATCTGTCCCATCTTAGTTGCAGCAACAGCTGCGATAATCCTCGCTTGGAGTTCATCAAGGGCATTGACGTTCTTGATCCCAGATGTAGCCCCACAGAAAGAAGTCTGTGGTAAAATTAGATATCTGAGGGAGCCAGGCAAGGGGCCCTGGTTGACCAATGCATTCATCGAGGAAGGTCTGTGTTGCACTTTTGTTGTACTGACATATGGGTTTTGTGTTCCTGAGGTACTGTGCTTCATCTCTTAAGTCATAGGTCATAGCTTTTCAGTAGGTCATAATGATCTTCCTGTTCAAAAGTGCGGCCTAATAGAATAATCCTGTATTTGGTTGTTACTTTGTGGCTCTGAAATGAAGTAAGAAATTGTATGTGTAATTTGCTGTTCCCTCTGTATGCTATCTGTTGTGTTAGTGTTCTGTAAGCACATTTTATATGTATTCGTATGAATGTTGTGTATATACTGTCAGTGTTGTGATCTGATTGGTGTGTCAAGCCTTATGAAATGTGCTGTAACGATTCTTTTTCATAGTTTTCATCTTGGAGGAGCTCACAGGTATGGCCAACTCACTTCAAATGAAACATTTCAATATTTTTTTTTTCACTCTGGGAAAAATGTGCAAAAAATATTTTCCAATATTTACTCACAAAACATAATTGGACCTCCCTGGAAATTTGACTGACTGAATCTGATGCTCGGTCTGTTGTCAAAGAGACAGGTTCCTTTAAACATACTTCCAATAACATATAACTATTTAAAGACAAAATTATTTTAGTCTAATATGAATTTGGCATAATATGAAGTGGGATGTATATTTTCCTCATGAACTTCTTAGATAGATTTTCAAAGTGGGAAGAGTAGTTCCAATTTAGCTAAAACAGGGAACAAAATTTTGATCATAAAATGCACCCTTGGGCAAGATTTAGCTCCTTTCATCCTACATTCATGATATGATACTTTAACACTCACCTTTTGAATCAAAACATATTTTTTGTTTGACAACAGATGAGCAAACAGAGCTGATTATATGTGGCATTCCAACTACAAATATTACAGTAGAAATATATGAACCAGCGTGGAAAATGTTAAGGCGACTACTAAATGCCCCAGTAAGAAAAAGAGGATTGAAATATTGATATCACAGTAACTTTAGGATTATTTTATGTCAATCAGTAAATGTGTTTTGCCTTGTGTGTGAATATATGTGAAAGTCATCTGCTGGACATGACACAAAATACTCAGGGAGTGGTTAGCACTGCTGCTATCCAACAGGTTGGTCTAAAGGTAACACACTAAACTTGTGCACAGTTCAAATTTCAGTCGGGACACCAGATATCCTGACCAAGGTTTTGCTTAGTCTTGATGCTGATAGTGTCCTTACATAACCTACAAGAAAGCACTCCTTCATATACAGGAGGTCTTCAGTACAAATCCAATCCCAGACACCATCTATCATGACTGACTTTCTTCATGGTTCTCCTTGGTACCTGCAGGGGTATGTACAGGAGAATGCCTTAAAATAGGCTATGACCAATACCATACACATCTTTCTATTATTCACTAATCACCCATTTGGTGCTACATAATCTAAAATACTGAAAGCATCATTAAATAAACCAGATATGCATCAGATAAATACAAGAAGATTACTGCCTTCTGAGATGTGACATCAAGTAGTATAGTATATTGGTATGTGTCTAGCAGAATGTACAGCATCTCATGCCAGGTGGCAGTAGTCTTCCATAACCTTTGTCGTTAGTGCCACTAATCTCGCATAAATATACAGATAATACTATGTCATACCAGAAATTTTCAACCATAAGCATTTAATGGGAAAAGAACCAAGAGTTATATCTTCTGGGATATAACACCATGCAGTCTGTTAAAGTCAGCCGATGTTTCTGAGGAATGTGTAGCCTCCATCTTCAGGGTCAAATAAGCTGGGCAAGAAACCAGTGTGAAAGCAGATGGCTATGCTCTCAGTTACATAAGGAAAGTTGGTCCAAGGCTTGGATAAGAACAAGCAAGTGGTCTTGTAAAGTGAATGGGAACCTCTGACCCTTAAGAAGAATACATTTATAGATGGAAGTAAACAGTTTTATTAGATATTTGTCCTTTATGTCTGGGTTCCATTCCAGTCAAAGGCAAGAGGTTTTGCTGGTCTTCACAGTGTTCAGATTAGTTCTGGGGCCACCCAACCTCCTGTCCTAGTGTTTACCATGAGTAAAGTAGCCAGGGCGTGGAGCTGAGTACTTACCTCCATTTAGTATCGAGGTTACAAATGCATGGAGCTATACCTCCACTTCCCATATATCTTCATGGAATGGTAATTAAATAGGTACAAGGACAATTTCACTTTTACTTTGTGTCTTTACTATGTTTACCTTCTTGGCTACCTTTTGCATCTCTTTGCACATATGCCCTTTCATTGCACCTATTGATTCAGTTGTGGCCCTCACTTCTTTCTTCCCTTCTCTACATCCAAGATGGAGGCAACAGTTTCCTCCAAAATGTTGGTAACTCTCAAACAGACTGTACTGTGTTCCGTGAAGGAGGTTGACACAGCAAGTAATTCTCCAAACCAATATTCACGTTGTTTGAATCTCAGCCAGGACCTTTGGTTACCCTGAATGAAGTTTTAAGTAGTGTTCCAAAGCCACTCCAGACAAACGTTAGGATAATGTGTTGACCAGGCCACAAACACTTCTTCCAGATCCTTTTAAATACATCATTCATCTGTCATCCTACCATTTTATTTTGTGTAGTCCAGGTACTGATGGTGTCATAAAATAATCCACAAAAAATACATGGCATGACATTCCAGAAGATAATAATCTTGTAGTGATAATGTATGGCCACTGATTTTCAGGGTTCACTGAGTAGAGTCTTAGGACTGAAACTCCGCCAAGACTCGCACTCATCCAGGCAAGAGAGGGAACGAGATAATCGAGATCGGGACTCACAGACCAGCAGCAGCAGCAACTACTATGTTGCCTCGCCTTCTTCCTCATCAGAAAACAGTTCATCAGTTGTTAATTTCAGCTGCCGATCCTCACCGCCACCCTATCATGGGCGGGGATCATCACCCTCAAGAGTTGGGGATCACTGCCGACATCCTCCATCGAGGGTGAAGAAGAGACACCACCACCGGCGCGTCAAGTCCATAGGTGACATAGATGCAGTCACTATCACACCTGTCTAACTGGGCCTACAGGCTAGCCATAGTAGGAGCCTAAGCTGGGAATTATATGGTCATGTTTTCATGCCTGCACATTTTAAAATTTTATCAAATGGGTTGATGGTGGCCACTACTTAAAAGAGTACACTGCCCTGGTGCTAACAAAAGCTTGCACAATCCCAGTCATTAAAATATTTAACATTTTCTTCAACAGATGTTATTCATTTTCTACAGAACCCTAATGGATTACAGTATTTACTTTCAGGAATCACGGTATTTATTTAGGATTTGAGGTTCTGACACCAGTGGTTATGAAGAGTACTGTCTTCTGGGATATAGTGCCATGTTGTTCATTGAAATTCAACCGGCATTTCAGAGGAACATGCTGCCTCCATCTACAGGGCTTTCCTCAGTAACAGTGGGTAAATAATTACCAGACTTCATGGCATCACATCCCAGAAGACAGTAGACTTCATAATCACTGTCATGTGAATCTCAAATTTTACTTCTTTGCAATTAGTAACATAGAATTTCCAGACTCTCTGACAAATACTGTTGGTGTCATAATTCTTAAAACAGTTTGATTTAAGTTGTTACATAAGATGTTCATATTTCCAATTACTTGTCATAAAATGAGCAGAAGAACAGCATAAATTAATATTAATTCAACAAAAATCAAAATAAACGGGGTTTGTGAAGTGTGCCATCTATAAAATCGTGCTGCCTCAGGCGTCTGCTTGATTAGCCTATACTGTCACACAGCCTGTCTTTTGGGGCAGTGTGAAATATCAGAAATACTAACCCATATTCCTTTGTCTTAAAAATGGAAACAATTTTCATTTCACTCCAATTTACTCTGGAGCTGATGATCATATAATTCCTGCAGGTCATTGTAAGTTCTAAGAACTTTTTTCTCCATACAGAGAGTCTGGGCAAGATTTGCTGTATTTAATACTGATAAGTGTATCAGTGTGAAGTAAAGTGCATAATTCTTTTGTCAGTAAATAGAGTGAATGAAGCTTAGAGCAGCAATGACTGAACAAGTTTACTATTCTCCAGTGAAAAGAAGGCTAGGCACCACATGTACTGTGCAGGCAGGAAGATATCAGTATGATTGTTGGATGACCCTCCAACTCTTACCATTTCTGTTGGTACACTAATGCTCATAAAAGGACAACAGAGAATCAAGGATGACCATTTCTACTTACCACTCTTTGTTGGAGGACAGTATTTTTCTTCAGTAGGTATGAAAGTTTTCCTTCTGTACTACCTGTAAATCTTGTCCATTCTTTCATTCTTTTGGAGTAAGCTGTGTTTATTGTTATGGCAATTTCTCTGTTCACCATTTGTAATAAATAAATGTACCTTATATATTTGCATGCATGAGTGTGCAATGAGGAACTGGTTTTGCTATTTTATGTACTGAAAAGGACCAGAATATCTTAATATTTGTGTTATTATTACTATTATTATTATTCTCATTATTAATACTACCAAGAGTCGTGTAACTGTTAACAGTGATTTATTCAAAATGTCAGCTGTTGTTAACCAGATTCTACAAGTAATCCAATTTGTGTGTCACCTCAAGTATTCATTTGATGTTCATATTCATGTCAGTGTTTCATATAACAGGAAATTCTCTCTGTGAAAGAAAATACTCTATATTTATTGGAATTCTAATATGGTAACACAGTAAAGTAAGTAAAGCTATCCTTGTACCAGGATGTGAAGGCCCATAGAGTTGTGAGACGTTGAGGGTCCCACACTATCTAGACAATCGGCTCAAAGATGGTGGTAAGGTTGTCAGCCTTACGCGCTGGCTGCACTTTACTGCCCAGGAAAATTATTTAATTAATTCCTGGTACTCATTTCTGTTAGAGGCTGAGTAAACCCCAGGGCCTAGTGTGGCTGGAAGGATTAGGTCAATATGGTAACACAGAGGTTCTCATTTATATACCATAGATAAGGATTTCATGTCACTGCTTCAGAACAACAGTTGTGCTCATTCATGTACCACAAGCAAGTTAATGGTACATATTTAACCTCAAATTATGGGCACCAGGTGTGCTCATCTACTTGCTACAGGCGAGTTAGAGACCAGTGTCAAGTACATGCTTAGCATCAAACTGCATGTATATTGAGTGGTTTTCAAGTGTCTAGTGGATTTAAGCACTATTTCTGAAGGCCTACACACATGGAGCCAAAAAAAAAAAAAGCATGTTTCATATATGCTGTCACGGAAACAAATAACTGTATTTGGTTATCCCCTTGTTATGCGACTAGCATGAAGGCCATTGAAAATGCACCAAGAAATTGTTGCAGTTATCGGCTTTGTTCCAGTTGTATTTATTAGAGCCCTTAAGGGAGACCATGAGTTCATGATATTACCGAATATGCATACAATGAATTCAGTAAGTTCTGGAAACACATACATTTATGCAGAAATACTAAACATGGTACAATAACAGTACACACCAAACAGTGCTGCTATCTATAGGAAAGCTATGAACTTGCTTTTGGCAAAGGAGCAATATTGACAGACATTTATTGCTACAGTCTTCTGCTCATGTTCATAACTACTTGCTAACACAAACAATGACAGGTTAGGAAATATTAGCCTTTTATATATAAGGACTGTTGAGGGTATGTACCATCAAATAAAATATGTTTGTTTTTTAGTCTTTAATGATTCGTCTATTGCATTAGTTATATAGTAATGAAGAGTAGAATGATAATGAAAGATGAATTTGAAAGGAAAAGGGAAGCAGCCACGGTCTCTTTTAACGTGCTATCACAGAATGTGTGTATAGAGAGTCAAAAAATCTCTAGAAACCTCAAGCAGTATAACTTATCACTGAACCAATATTTGAACCTCTGCCCCACCCCCAAACTATGGAGCAAGAGTGACGTTTCTGTGGCATTTTGTTATTGTGAAAACTTTATTCATATCCATTCTTGCTGGGCTTATCATAGTCTCATCAGAATCCAACTGGTCAGCATTATCTGGGCTCCTGTTAGGCTTTCTCAGTGTAGCGATGCTGTGTGTGAGCCCAGCACTCAGTTCCTTACTGTGTATTTAACCCAGAACAAGACAGTCTAGCCAAGTATCTGGGGCATTTAACCCAGAAGAAGACAATCTAGCCAAGCACCTAAGGGAATTTAACCCAGAACAAGACAGTCTAGTCAAGTATCTGAGAGCATTTAACCCAGAACAAGACAGTCTAGCCAAGTATCAGGGCATTTCACCCAGAACAAGACAGTCTAGCCAAGTATCTGAGGGCATCAGGAGGGAAGAGAGGAGCTAGCAAGAAACTGGAAGAGAAATATTATTAGGAGGAGGAAGAGATTGGAGGCTTTTCATCCATTGGCCCATATAGAATGTAAACTGTACTGGATGAAGAAGGAGGTAAGATGAAATTGATTGAATTGATGGTCAAGAGGTAATGCTTTAGAATTGTATCTAGAAGATAATCAGTTTGAATATTGACTGGGTCCCTGATGATCCTGACTGAGGTTTTTCATGTTTTTTCTCAGTCCCTTTAGGCAAATGCCATGATATTACCTTGTTTAGGCCACAACCTCTTCTATCCAAATTGTTTGCAATTTGTCAGCTGTCTTACCATCTGACACTGCATAGTCTTGGTACTGAAAGCACTGTTAAACAACAAACAAAAAGAGATGGTTATGAATGATAAGTTGGATGGATGTGGGAGCAGATGGTTATATCCTGTTCAGACATGTTGGATATCAGATGTTTTTCTCGTTAATGAATTGTAGGAATACGTGCTTCTGAAGAAATACATAGTAGTATCTTTCAGTTGATGTTGATGTTAGATGTCTGATAGCAAATATAGTAAATTTGTAGAACAGTGGAACCTGTATAAACAAACATACTGATCAGTTAAAAGAAAAGAGTAAATCCAAAACGTTAGAGGATGTGGGAACACACAAAGACAGGTGACGGTATCAGTTTTAAAACTTAAAGGTATAAGAACTGGTCTTCTAACATCCATTTTTTGAGCTGACACAAGAAAATGTTTATGATTGGCAGTTAATGTGTTTCAGGTTATTTTTGCTTATTTGCCTGGAGGAACTAGGAATGCAGCACTCTTATCAATTACCTAAATCTGTCACCATGCAACGGTAAAGAACATACTTTTTGAAATGATAACATGCAATTGTTAAAAAGGGTGTTTGATATTTGTAGCTTACTGTACTTCATCCATCATCTGTTGTTCTAAATGAAAACAGAATATTGTGGGAACTGATTGAGATCATGTCCTCAAATGAGGAGTAACCTACTCTGTTGGGTCCATTAGAAGGAGTCAGTTCTAAAGAGTGGAGGTACGCCTCAACTGAGGACAGAAGAACATGTTCTAGAGACGATGTGTTCTGTCCAGAATATTGCATGATGAAGTTGAGAAAGTTAGGAACACTAAATATAGTACATCATCATCAGAAACCTTTAGAATTGGTTTAAGAGGCATGTTGCTTGGAACTTTATAAATAAGAGCCTCTGTTGTTGTGAAAATAGAAAGCTGTTTCATATGGCCTGCTGTACTGTACAAAGTACACTGAATCACTTGCAGTAAAATGGCCTGATGGAATACACAGCATTTCCATTGCATCTGGATCTGTACCATCTGCGAAAATACTGCGCTGTTAGTTCAGCCGCTGTCAAGCGTGGCTGCTATGTGCAGCCACCAGTAATGTCTTGGGCAGCCAGCAGCTGATTTCGTAACTATTAAGTTCTTTGTTCAATTTGAAATTATCACAGTGGTGACTATGAAAATTACCATCTCCTGGGATGTACTGCCATGTAGTTCACTAGAAATTCAACATTTCAAAAGAATGCACTGCATCCATCTTCAGGGTCAAAGAGTCACCCCAAGCAAATAACACCCAGAAGGGCATGCTTATAGGCTCAGGCAATAGGACAGCTACACTGAATGCAGATGCAACTTTGCATCACCAAGCAGAAAGGGAGATATGAAGCAGGAGGAGCAGGAGGGAGATGATGATAATGGAGGGGTGGTAGGTCAATCCACATGGGACAACGCCCGCAGCCAAAAAGGGAACACACATCACAAGACATGATAAACACGGCATATAAGAGGAATGACTCCCATAGTGGAGGAACCATGCGCGGGTTTTGAATTCGAACAGATAAGATGAATATATTAACAAGATTTTAGTACAAAAAAATTTATTATAACTGACGAATATTTTAAAATACTTTTGAAATAATTTTACATTGACATAATGGCAAGCAGTGCAATAGATTAGTGTAAATGGAGCACCTGATGATGGCACTATGGTGCCGAAACATGTTGTGAAGTGACAGGTAAAAGTGGATGCACTGCAAGATGGACACTGTATATATATCATGGACTAAGAGAGGCTTGGCCGGGCCATAACTCAAGTGGTTAGTAGCTGGCTTCCGACAGTGGCGGCCTAGGTCCAATCCTAGGTCTGATCAAGTGGGATTTGTGGTGAACAAAGTGGCGTTGGGCAGGTTTTCTGAGAGTACTTCGGTTTCCCCTGCCAATCTTCATTCCACCAATTGTTCCACAATCACCCTCACCTATCATCTTGGGCTGGTACAATAGCCCAGAAGTGGCTGCAGTACAAGGGACTTAGTGTCACCCCACTAGCATTAAAAAAAATAAAGAGAGGCTTACTCTTCTGTCCTGAAGATGGAGGCAACAGGTACCTCCAAAGCAGAACTTTCTGCGAGCTTCCACTACATCGCATCCCTGAAGACACTAACATTGACATGAGATTTGACGTTCTCATGGTGTGGCTACAAAGGGTATTGTCCTCTATGGATGTGATGCCATGCAATCTGGTAAAATTTTACTGTCTGAGGAATATACTACTTCCATCATCAGAGTTGAGGAGTAAGTCCAGTAAGCAAACAAAGAAACAAACCATCAGATTACACAGCAGCTCACTCTGGTAACCATCATACTCACCACTGTGAGAACCTCAGATCAAATTTTGGTGCATACTGATTCATGCCACCCCCAGAATCTTTTGACACAAAGTAAGGGCTTCACTTCATATCAAGAGCATGGATGCTAGTGCCTCCATATTTAAAGGCTGAGAAATTAAATAATATATCCCTACCATTAAAATGAAATGCATAACAAGTAGGCTGTCCATTGTTCTTTCACAGGCTATAGCATGTGAGGGTTGAGCAGGCTATTTTGGTGATCTTGGTGACAAAATAAGAGAGATCCATCGTTGGAAACCCAATTGACAAATACAAATAATACTCCACTTTAAATGAATTATTGAAATGTATTTACTGGATAATATCTCAACAAACTATATTGTATACTCAAATACACAGATAATATGAATGAAATATGTCTACAAAATTTTATAAGTATTGAAAATTCTTATATTTACATATTGATGTCTATAGGAACTACAAACATGTGTGACTGGGTGTGTAAAAAGGCTTTCCTCTGCATTTACTGTTAAACTTGACTGATATCTGAACTGCCTGAAAGGTAAATAAAGTTATGATTTATCAATATAAATTCATGTCACTGAAAGGGTTAAAAATTATGAACAATTCTGAATTCACAGTTGCCTGCATATTCTTCATTGTCTCCTGTTCCTTTACAGCAAAACTGAGGCTTATAATTGTACTGAGCTGACTGGGTAGTTAAAACACTTAATCTGATTTTCCCAGTTGCCATCTTTCACCATTATTTGTAACCAGTGCTCTTTT